TACCATGGAAGTGATGTTATGTCCTTCTCAGTGGATTGTGTCAAGAGGCACGTGATACTGATTTATCCTGTTTCTGGTGATGTTAACGTTGATCATTTGGTTAAGGTAGTGTCTGCCAAGTTTCTCCACTGTAGTCACCCTTTGTAATTCATAAGTATTTTATGAGGAAATATTTTGAAACTGTATAAATACTGTTTCTCATCATATTTCTGTCCAGTAATTTTACTATTCATTGAGACTCCATCGATGACTCTTTCCGGAAACAATTATGACTGTGGTATTTGCCAGATTGTGCTTTCTCTAGTCATTATCTTTTCCACACTTTTTGGTTGGAATTTTATTATAAGGAAAAACTTTACTTCTTCTCCATATTTATTTTTTCCATTGTTTATACCAATATGGGCTCATGAGTTCTTAATTATTTCTATGTGTGAGAATTCGTTGCTATCATTTATTTATTTTCTTGCTCAAATTGTCCCTGATTTGACCAATGGGACACTGGCTTCTTCACGCTGGCTTCTGTGACCTTTTGACTATCCCTTCACTTTTTTTTAAGATTTTATTTATTTGAGGGAGCGAGCATGAGAGAGAGAGAGAGAGAGTGATCATGAGCAGAGGGGAGGAGCAGAGGGGAGGGGCAGAGGGAGAAGCAGACTCCCCGCGAGCAGGGAGCCTGATGCAGGGACTGGATCCCAAGAACCTGAGCCAAAGGTAGACGTTTAACTGACTGAGCCACCCAGGCGCCCCCTGTCCCTTCACTTTCTGATACAACATGATGTTCCTGGCTCATCTTGTATACTCTGTGCCTCAGCCCTAGAATTAACCATTCACACAGCCGTTGTTTCTTTCATTGAAGAATAGATAGTATTTAGAAGTATATAGAAGCCAAAATCTGAGTGCTACCTGTGCTCACTGTTGGGGGGAGCTAGGAAAAAATGTGTGTGCTCACATATCTGTAACTGTTTCTGTGTCTTTTGTATTTGTGTGTGTGGGGGGGGTGTATGTGTATACACACACACACACACACACAAGTTCATACTGATACTTCCAATTCCAATCTAACACCAAAGAGTTTATTCTAACCTCCCCCCACACCTGTAACTCCTATGAAGATAGTGAGAAACTCAGCTCTCATTATCCTCAATATATTTACTTTCTCAGTCCTAAAATACACACAGAATAGCTTCAGAATTGCTAACCTACGTAACCCATATACAAACCTCCTAACTAAAATACTGTATTTGTGTACAAATCTTATATTTTGCCTTAGACTATGTAGTCAAATTACTATTTTCCAAAGTGACTGTCGGTTCTCCCCCTGCCTCCCTTCAGTGTGGTCGTATCATTCATTTGTAATACAGTTAGGTTCACTTGTTTCTGGTTATATCCTATTTTGGGTCCACACCCTGCCCCCCACCAACACACTCCTTGTTAATTTTATTTACTTATTTTTTTTTTTAAAGATTTTATTTATTTATTTGACAGAGAGACAGCGAGAGAGGGAACACCAGCAGGGGGAGGGGGAGAAGGAGAAGCAGGCTCCCCGCAGAGCAGGGAGCCCGATGTGGGACTTTATTTACTTATTTTTGAGTATGTGAAACATTAATATGGTTCCAAAACACAGAACCAAACAAAAAAAAATATATACTCAGAAAAGTGCCACTCTGCTTCAGCCCTTCTCCATAGTTGTTCCCATGCACCTGCTGAAGGTAACAAATCTCATTCATTTCTTATTTACCCTTTTTTCTTAGATGAAAGATAGCACAATGTAGCTATTTTTCTGTGCTTTGCCTTTTTCACTTTACAGTGTGTCCTGGAAATCACTTGCTATCCGCCTAAGTGATCTTGTTCATTGTTTCTCATAGCTGCAGAATACTGAGTGAATGTACCATAGTTCATGTAGTCACTGTGAACTATGGTACACTGTCTTATATGAGTGCCTTTTTCCCCCATAGGCTTTCCAAGAAAATATGTATCATGCTTTTCAGTCTTCTAGGCCAAGAATTTTGATAATGGTTCATGCAAAGATGGTAGTAGTAGAGGAGGTGGAAAGTGCTTAGATTTAAGATACAATTTTGGAAAAAAAACAATTCGGAGTTTACAATGGATTGCTGTGGAGGCTGATGCAGTGGTTTTCCAACTGGGGTCCTCTCCAGTTCTGTTTAGGTAGTAGGCATCAGTATTAACAGTCTACACTAGTTAGTTCTTTTTACTTGCCTGATTTATGAGGTTTTTGGTGACTCTCACCTTCCTCTTGGGCCAGCCTTAATTTTTTTTTAAAGATTTATTTATTTAGCAAGAGAGGACACACAAGAGGGGGCGGGGCAAAGGGAGAGGGAGAGAATCTCAAGCAGACTGCTTGCTGAGCGAGGATCCCTACGTGGGGCTCCATCTCAAGGCCCTGAGATCAGGACTTGAGCCAAAATCAAGAGTTGGCCACTTAACCAACTGAGCCACCCAGGCGCCCCTTGGGCCAGTCTCATTATATGTCCTAGTAAATTTATGGCATTATAATAGCTAATGCTAACTGCTCTAACAGATAATTTCTAACATTTCAGTGGCTTAATGCAGCAGTTTATTTTTTGCTCACGTTACAATCCAGTGCGGGTGTTTTTGAATTACAGCTCTCTTCCATATGGTAATTCAGGGACTCTGGCTCCTTCTAGAATGTAGTTTCTCCGTGCCCTGAGTCTTGGAGTCTTTGAGGAGTAAGTATGAAAAGAAAGTGAAAAAGGGACATCTTAACTGCCTTGGTCTGGAAGGAATGCAGATTACTTTCCGGGTTCAGTTGCTGAGAACTCGTCACACGCCCCCTAGATGCAGGAGGGCTGGTAAATGTGGTCCCTGCAGGACAGCAGCTTTCCAGGAAGCACTCCATACATGGAGGGGGCGGAAGGATCGAGGTGGACGGGTAGCTAACTCTGCCATGGATATTTAACAAAGTAAGTCATTTGCGTACTGTGTGGGAATAAATAACTTGTGTTGCAGGATAGAACATTCTGAAGTATTACATTGTCAAATAGTGAAGAATGGTTAAAAAAAAAAAGTATAGAGTAGTCCCCCCTAATCTGCGGGGGACAAGTTCCAGGACCTCCCAGTGGATGCCTGAAACTACAGATAGTACTGAGCCTTAGGCATACTGTTTAAATATCCTGCAATACAAGTTATGTGAATGGGGTCTCTCTCCCTCTCAAAATACCTTATTGTACTGTACTCACCCTTCTTCTTGGGATGAAGTGAGATGATCCAGGGCCTACATGATGGGATGACATGAGGCGCATGACGTAGGCACGCAGTGTTAGGCCACTGCTGGCCTTCTGAGGGTCCTGCAGAAGAAGGATCATCTGCTTCGGGACCGCAGGTGTCCACAGGGAAGCGAAACCGGGAACAAGGAGGGACTGCGGTAATCATGGCGTTTAACAGCAGGGAACGAAGAGTTGGTGTACAAAAGGAGGAACAGGATTTAACTTTGAAGGGTTAGTGAGTCTAGTAGAGGAGTTCCAAATAACAAGGATTGTGGATGAAGAAAAGATGTTTGTATTTTCATTCGTCTGCTCCTTCATTCATTCAAGAATGTGCCACTGGCCATGTGCTCGGTGCTGTTAGGTGGCGGCAGGAGGTGGACTGTATGTATACTGGGGCGGGGGGGGGCGTGTTTACTTGTACATGGACAGGAGGATGTTGTGCAGGTATGAGGAGAAGCGATGAAGCATAAGCCAGAACAGTGGGACTTTTCCCCGCCTTTTTGATCTTAAAAAAAAACAAACAAAAAAACCTTCTGAGAATATTACGTAAAAGAAACTTTCCTAAAAGCTTTTAAAGTGCAGCACTTTGTTAGAACAAATTGATCATCTAAATAAGAAAAAATGTCAGATTCTAATAAACAAGATGCTATTTCATGTTCTTTTCAGAATATAATATTTTTCAATCATGGAAAAATGAGTCTTTCTCACATTGTGTTTGTAGGCTTTGGGCTCATCCTAAATGGAAAAAGTTAATATTGTTCTCATCATGCAGGGGTTTGATTTATAAGGGGACTACCCAGAGAAAGATCTGTCATAATATTTTATAGCCACACCAGTAGAGTAATGCTAATAACCAACATGGGTACTGCATGCTACAGTTTACAGAGCGGTCCTATATAACTGATCCAACCTGATCATCACCACAACCGTATGAAGTAGGTAAGGGCTAGGTTGATATCATCATTAGTAGTAAGAGTAGTTATATGTAGATGTTCAGATGTAGTGCCATTATCCCCATTTTACAGTCGAGGAAATTGACACTTAAGGAGGTAAATGATGTGCCTAGAACCTGTAAATTTAAAATCCCAAAGAGAAAATAAATTTTAAATTCTGATGTTGTGGTCTAATTTTATCTGTGTTCAAGAATAAAAAATTCAGTTGAGCTTTCTAAACTTCCATTTACTTCTTGTCTGTTATTGTCAGGGTGGGAGGTAGGCAGAAGTTAAGAAAATACGGTTAAGGGGCACCTGGGTGGCTCAGTCGTTAAGCGTCTGCCTTGGGCTCAGGTCATGATCCCAGGGTCCTGGGATCGAGCCCCACGTCCGGCTCCTGGCTCGGCGGGGAGCCTGCTTCTCCCTCTCCCTCTGCCTCTCCCCCTGCTCATGCTCTTGCTCTCTCTGTATCTCTGTGTCTCGAATGAATAAAATCTTTAAAAAAGAAAAAGAAAATACAGTTAATATTTCCAAGTAGTGTGATATTTTCCATTCTTTGAATTACGTCTCTTGTCAGACAATTTCCTTTTTCTTTTCTTTTGGTTTTTATAGTAATTGATTTTATGGTACATTAAATGTGAGGGGGAAATCCTGAAAGGGCGGGACTTTTATTCTAGGAGCCCGTGTTTTTCTCTTTGGGGACTTACTTGTTTGTTCTATAAGCAAAAGAACTGCACTAGATCCTAACTCCTTTGTATTCACATTTATTAGTGAATAATACCGTCGCTTTGTGACTAATGTCCAGCTGTGTCTGTTCTCACAGGTGGGGTGACTGCTCTCTGTTGGGACCCTGTCCAGCGAGTGTTGTTCTCGGGCAGCTCAGATCACTCTGTCATCATGTGGGACATCGGTGGGAGAAAAGGAACGGCCATCGAGCTCCAAGGACACAAGTAAGGCAGCTGATGATTTTATTAAAAAACTCGGAGAAAAGATTCCCAGTGGTAAGCTAGAACAGGCGTGTGGTCTGGTGTCTACGGCAGGATCTTAACATGGGAACAAACATTGCCGGAACACAAATAATAGCCACTTTGAATTATATCTGTGCGTAGGTATGTTTATTTATTTATACCTCATTTAATTCCATGGAGGATTTGAGAGTGCTTGCAAAAACTGTAAAATAAAATAATGGCAGCAAAGAAATAAAAAGTAAAAATGAGAACCAGGGAGACTTACGAGTAAAAATTTGAGAATGCGAGAAAAAAGAGCTTAAAAATATAAGCCATGAAAGCCTATGGAATTTCAATAATTGAGTTCAAATGTGGCAAGATTCCTGGCAGCTTAAGGAAAAGGGGAGAGATAATAAGCTTACACTATATATTTTGTACTTGACCAAATATTTATTGAGCACTCGCCTTGATTCATATCAGGCTCTTCTTCCTTGACAGGCAGATTTCACAGGGCTGAGAGGAAGAGCAAAAAAAGCTTTGTGTTTCCTTGGAGCTGTTCTCAAACTTGCAGTGTGCAAAGAGTCACCAAGGAATTTGTTACAGTGTAGACTCCTGGACCCTGTCCTTGGAGAGCCCAGTCACCGTCTGGAGCTGCAAGTGTCTGTGCTGTACGAGGCCTCCCAGGCAGCTCTCTTGGCAGCCCTCAGACCATACTCTGACCTGTCCTACCCTGTGCTGCCCGCCGGTCCTAGGGGCAAAGCCTGGTCGTGGGCAGAAAAGAACTGTAGATCTGCTTTCGAGCTCTAAAGCTAATCTGTATTGTTTTGAACTTGTGAAGTTTTCACAGTGATGTCAAGAGCAACTGTAGACAGCCATAGCAAATGTTAGTAAGGCTCCCACGAGCTGACTGGTTCTAAGCAACATTAGCTCTTTTTGTAAATCTACCCAGTAAATATTCTCCTAAGTAGTTACATCTACAGTTGGATTATTAGATATGAACGGATTCAATTTTGGAGGGCCTCTGCACAAATAATTATCTTAGTGTTAGAATTTAGTCTTTGAGAAGTAGCTGTGAAGCCTTCTTTCCCACATTAGAAAATGGGCCCATTGTCTGGGGCCTTGTCTGGCTTGTGGGGCCACTTGGACCTTGTCATCAGCTCATAAGAGGAATCGTTCCCTTGTATTTATCTCCGTGACAAGGGGACATGCATCAGTATTGTATAAAAGGAGTTGACATCATCCATGTAAATGAAGAAAAAGAGAAGCCAAACACAGTCCTGTTTAATAATACTCAGTTATTCTCCAAAATGCCAAGTTAATTCCTGCCACCTCAGGTCTTTCAGAGAAATAAAAGGCCAGTTTTGAATGAATATCAGTAATATTTGTTGGGCTCATTCAGATTAGCTCATAACTAGTTTTATTTTTGCACAGTGGTGAATAAAGCCTGCAGGCAATCTTGCATGACCCATCCACAGGGTAGTAAAGTATAACAGTGCTCAACACCAGCAGCACTGCGTGCTGAGTGCCCCCCCACAAACTCTTGACCTGGGAAACTTGCACCTATCGTTTGGTAAGAAAGGAAAAGCTGTAAAATTGAGATAGAGTCTCTCAGTCCCAGAAAAATGGAACCTGAGCTAATAGGTCTTCCAGTTTCTAAGGAATACAGACCTGGCCTTTTCGAAAATGAAACAAACCATACTTGGGAGTCCATCCCAATAATCCACACCCTTAGAACCTAGTGGGATGGCAGGCTGGTGAGATCAGGAGCCGCCGGTCGGCACTGGCTTTAAACAGGAATAATGGCAGAAGGCCTTTGCCTGTGCTTTATTTAGCTCAAGCTGAGGAATAAAGGGAACTCTGTGAGGGGCTCCTCGTCACTGGGCCTTGCCTGAGAGGGGCTGCCTGGTGTCACACGTCTGGGGGAAATGAACTTCCTCAGTTGGTGTCACCCTGTTAGAGTGGGTTTGAGTGCCCGAGGTGGAGTCAGGGAGGACACCGGAGCTGCTGAAAGGAGGAGGATGGGACTCACAAAAGGGGGCGGAAGGAAGGGGCCAGGCCAGCAGGCAGGAAGGAGAGCCACAGGGCCACGTTCACAGCCACCATTCCTTTGCCCTGAAAATTGGCCACGGGATTGGTGTTCAGTGATTGTATTTCGTCAGAGAGCAAACACACAGATACCTCAGTGCCATCTTGTAAGCACTCTGTATATGTAGGAGGGAAGCCAGATGTCATCTTTTAGATGAGAATATTGAGTCCTCAAAGCCCCCAGCTGGTAGCTTAGTTCTCCCAAACCTTAGCTCAGTCCAACAGAGAAAGCTCCTTAGAGCCTTCTTTGTATCCTGCACTGTGCTAGGTACTGGGGGTACGGAAGCGAACATTGACTAACAGATGGTCCCCTCAGTGCCCCATGATTTTTTTTTTTTTTTAAAGATTTTATTTATTTGACAGGGAGAGACACAGTGAGAGAGGAAACACAAGCAGGGGGAGTGGGAGAGGGAGAAGCAGGCTTCCCGCTGAGCAGGGAGTCCGATGTGGGGCTCGATCCCAGGACCCTGGGATCATGA